GGAGCCTCTAAAAATCACTTGAACTGAGTTGAATATCATTCTGTGCCTATTACCTAACCTGACACTGGATTTTGCTCTCGAGATGGGAAGCCCGAGATGGTACTTCACATCTCCTTGATATCATTCAATTTCTTTTCCAAGAATCGTTAGTCCCCAACGAGTTGTCAGTCCAACTCGTTTTCTACCCAATTCGTCAATTTATCCTGAGGAAACATACGAATGCATGTATCAGGGATCAATAGTGTTACATAACATACCTCTCAGAAATCTCTTTGAGTCCAATTGGACTTGCTTTTATCTAATTTCTATCTCAAAATCAAGTCATTATCGAACAAAAGGCTATGTGTTCTGCAACATTGTAATCCTTTTCATTTTGTTCTCTTTATATTGTACATCTTTGCTTAAACTTAGGTCTCTAATTTATTAAATCGAGTATGCAAATACACAAAAGAGAAATTAGAGCAATTGTTAACGTAATTTCATCGGAACCGGGAAATTTTAGGCTTTAGCTACCATCATCTTGAAAAACGATCAGAATTTAAACTTTCACACACCAGACAACTTAAAAAGCGCCAATAGCAAAATTAAAAATCCACGCAAAACCAACAGAATTTCTTTCACAAGTTCCTATGATGCGGGACTTTATTTTTAAATTAAAGTTTTATTTTTAAATATGTAATCATCAGATGAAAGTTCGGGGACCGTCTTCCCTCCTCCCTTCAACAGGGCATGTTTACTCAATAAGAGAACAATGTAGGTACGGATTACATAATAAAATCAAAAGGAACTACGACGGGCATCGAATTCTGCATGCGTGATTCCTTTAAGCACAAATAGTTAAAGTAGTACTCAGCACCTTACTGCCCCGAACATTAATATCACCAGTGGCGTGGCGTGCTTTGCGAAATATCGATTGAGCTGCCATTTAAACCAATGGAAAAGGATCGATAAACCGAGTGTTCGCAATAAACACCTTAATAATCGATTCTCTACCTTAGCTTCAAATGGGGATATACCGATAATCGATCTATCACGCCTCGCCACTGAATATCACCACTTTAGGGCAGGAAACCGTGATTTTGTATTGTACATCAGTAAATCCACTCAACCCTAAAAACTCCTTCAAAATACTTTCCTAAGACACGTGCCACCGTCAATTTTTTTCATCCATACAGATTGTATTCGATACATCAAACGGGTGAGATTCGATATCGATTGGTTCAAAACATAAACATAGCCTCAATAGCCAATTGAGTAATCTGACGGAACGGGTCTTTTATGATAGATTTTTGATTCGTGCGAGTACTAATTGGCCAAAAGTAGTCAAATTGCGACGAAATTTCTCATTTCCACTTTTCTTACAAATGAATCAGTGACTTCGAAAACACACCAACTCCAGTTTTTTTCGATTTTCACTTTTTTACGGTTTAGTAACAATAGAAGCATCTGCACGCAAAAGGAAACATCGAAATTGCAATCGGAAGTGCTCGAAACAGCGACGGGAAAAGGGAAAAATCGATGTATTTCATTGGAAATACCAGTTTTTGGCCATTTGAAGGGAAATCGGGTGACCATCCGATTCTGCGGGGTTTTTTTCGGTGCAGTATACCTTGTATCAACAAGTTATATAAATATTCAAGCGTTATTTAGGTCGAAAAATATACATTTTTCTGGACAGACTATGAAAAATCAGTATTTAAAAGTCGGTGAGAACGAAAACACACCAACTCGGAAATTTTTAAACGCTTAATTCTCTCTCATCAAACATGGTGTATCGACTTCAACTTGGTTCTTTACAAAGTCTCTAAGTACTTGTCCTTTGGCACCAAAAAGGTTTTTCTTAAACTAACTTCTTCGCCCGCTGCGCAGTTTTAAGTGTTTCCTGAACAATTTTTTTTTCCGAGTAGGTGTGTTTTCGAACTCACTGATTCAAATATCCTTACATTTTGGTTTGAGGTTATGTTCTACTGTTTTGAACTGAACGATACATCGAACCACTATCGAATACGATCCATCCAAAAACTGAATTGGCATATTTAAAAACGGGGAGGAGAGATCACCGTCGCAATGGCAAGTCTCCGTAAGTAAGATTAATGAACACACCGTGCCATATATTGTGCGAAGTTTGCTTGTGCGATTTTATACGACGAGCTCTCATTATTCAGTGTAGGGACGGAATACTTGCTCGAGAAACTTCCCTCAATTCTCCAGCCTATCCGGAGAGTGGAAAAAACTTTCCCATTGTTCATGGCGGGCTGGGGTGTTACCCGGTGCACTAATTTATTTCCTTATTTGCTACGAAACTTTTCGAATATATAGATTAGGTTGCCGCCAGTGAGCGCCGAGTTACTTCTCGCCGATAATTTTTCCAGTGGCGTGGCGTGAATTGCGATAAATCGATTGTTATGCCATTTAAACCTATGGAAAAGGATCGGAAAACAGGGTGTTCGCAGCGAACACCCAAATAATCGATTCTTTACCATAGGTTTAAATGGCATAACGATCGATACATCGCAATTCACGCCACGCCACTGAATTTTTCTTCTCGTGCGTCGCATGGTATTAGAAAAACTCCTCGCCGAAGGATACGATTTAGAGAGACGGGAAAGCGATGGAAAACGACGAACGCTGTAATGCCATTCTCGGGAAAAACGCAGTATGAACATTCAAAAATTGCCAAATTTTCCCGGATAAAACACGTATTATTGATGTGGGCTTTGCATATTTTCCCTTGAAATTTTCAGGTATTTATGATCAAATTGTGTTCTAAACCACCTTAAATTTTGAAGAAAAGTATCTTAAAGTTTCCTCGAAAATTTGTATTTTAGCGGAGGAAATTTGGCAATACGTGAAGGATAGTATGGACTACATTTTGAAATCAGGAACAATAAATTCTAGCCCGGTTTAAAAACAACGTATGTGCTATTAGTTTCCCTTTGCACCCAAGCGTTTTTTCAGGTGAGCCAGAATTTATAGTTCCAAATTATGCAGTCCATATGGTGTTTACTCTTAGCACGGCGGTATATTGCTTCATCCAAGGAGCCTTCTCAATTTTACTATTTATTAGCAACTTAATTCCCTCCTCTTTTTTAAAAAAACCTGGGACTGTGCCTCTCATTTTGTTTCACGATCACGTGACTTCAATGGTGGACCACAATGGTGAATTTTTGTAATATTTGAAACGATTAAACTCAGTCTGAATTTTAAACAAGGTTGTAAAATATGTTGTCGAAGGATCGGAACTCCATTCCGAGGTTGTCAAATTGACTCAAACAATGTACAAAAATACACTCGTGCAATTTTTATCAAAATTTTATCTGATTTTTGCATGAAATCTGAGGAAAAATCAGTGGAATTTTCATTTTAAAATGCCCAAGATTCTCCTGGTCAATATGCAATTTGCAAGGATAAATTTGGCAACATTTAAATTGAGTTACGCGTGCTTTAGTAAGGGAGACGACGAATAGTGCTGAGTCAACACTTTTTCGCGGGTAAAGCAAGGTCGACAAATTCAAAAAAATTAAATTAGGGTTAAAAATTTAAGCTCTAATGAGTGAGTTTCAGTACAGCTCAAGCAGACGTATCGGAATAAAAATTTTAAAGATGTCGACAATCTCAGCGAGCTTAAGTTCCACTTTAGGACGGTCGCATCGTTTCCGCAAACGCCGAAGACTTCGCACGAACTCAGTTCATCAAAGTCAACTTTTCAAAGGCATTTCAAGAAGTGCGCGGTAAATTCCGGGCGCAGACACCTCTATAACCGTCCAAAATTGAATTTCAGCCGAGGCAAAGGGCTGCTTCGAATGTTCGGTCCGTATTAACGAGCCCCCCGCCCCCCCCCCTTCCCTTTCCCTGGGCCCACTCCTCGCGCCTTCTGTAACCGTGCTCTCATTGCCAGTTCATCACACAGAGGTTGGAACGGGGATTTTGGTGGACAAACTTTTGCTATATGACTGAAACAATACAGATTAGTGGTAAAAAATGTAAAACTTCCGGAAAAGTTAGTGTGAGAGCTGGAAATTCTAGTGTATTCTCTAAAATTTTCCAATTGCCTGAAGGAATCTTTGCTGGGTCTTGTAGGCAGCTGGGAGCTAAGACTCTCTAGAAAATCAAGAGTGAAACTGCAAAAATGCATGTTTCGGTTGCGGCGTTTCGAAATCTCCACTCCTATTTTATTGTTGAAATGGCGACCGAACCGACATCATGTAAGTTTTTACAGAATACTCTTTTTAGGAAGGAGATAATTTACTGAAATTTTCAAAAAAAAAATTATTTTTAGTAGCTTCTCGTGTAGAAAATGAAGCATGACCGGAATTCCGCAATGCCACAAACCGAGGTACCCAAAATTCTGCAGTTTCACCATCGAAATGTTAAAAATGGATTGAGAGTTGTTTTCACTCAACGAGATAGCACAGAGAGGCAGAAATCCTCCCTGTGTTTTCCTATAATCCACTGCAGGAAATTACCATCCCAGGATGGAAAGTGGTTTGAGTTTTGACGAAATTAATCCCCTTACAAAGCAAAACTTGGAATCCTGCGTCACAGGGAGTTCTTGGGCCTGAATACTAATTTTACAGTCTGAACGACATTTCCTACTCTGGTGGGAGATAATTCGGTAAAAATCGTAAATTTTGGTTAAAATTGAACAAGCGCCTATTCAAAGTACCCGGCAAACACGAGGTTAAATGATATCAATTTGATATAGAATCAGGCTTCTAGCCCGGATTCAAAGCGTCGCGCTAAATTTTCCACATCTCAGAGCAAAGGATCGATGAAAATCTGAAATTGACAATGACTTAGTTCGGTCGTCCACTTGGCATATCGATAAGCGGAGTATACGATTATTGAAAGTTCACGCAGTGCTTTTCAAAATATTGTTCCGTCGGAAAAGGTAAGGTTGTGGTGTGAGCTTTTTATTTTCAGCCGCAGGGCGTCTGTTGGCGAAGGGTTCGAGGGCTAGGGTCGAGAGTGCTTGAAACAAAATACAAATAATTACTTACAGCTTTCGAGCGAGAAATGGACGGAACACAAACAACAGCCCGAAACAATTCAACGAACCACGAACTAGGAACTACTGAATTCAGCTATTCATATCGCACTGGCATGCCACCGGGTCGGTCAGATAAAGGCGCGAACGGCTCCTCCAACTTGTACCGGTGGACTTGACGTCATGATAAGGAACTCTTACAAGCAAATTTCAAAAGAGCCTACTCCTCCTAATAATTAAATCAATGCTATCTCCGCCGTTTTCGGCGCAGTCGATTGTGTCTTTTTGCAATGGCTTCAGCATCCTCCCCTCTCGCCGCTCCCTCCTCCGTCCTGGATAGAACAAACAATGTTGTCTCATTGTTATGGGGAATTTTTTCGAAAGTTCTAAGAGGTCATTGAGATAGTTTGCTCATCAAGTCATTGGCGTTTCTCTTATTGCAAAGTATCCAAGATCATACTCTTTTTGCATTATAAAAAAAGAAAAATCCGATCGTATGAATTCAAGTCCGGTGCTTCAAGTATTCGATTCATCAAACAAAACTTCCTATTCGTGTTACTACATGTTCGATGTATATTTCCGAACACTCAGTTCCTGAAACCGAATCTTGTATCCTAGTTCCTTTCAATCCGGGAGTTTGATCGGTTGCGCCAGAAGATTTATTAAAGAATCGAAAAGTTCGTTTTTCAACAGACAGAGCAGCGGGTCGATTGTCGAATCGTTATCGAACGATCCTGATCAATAAATCCCTGTCTCGGCAATGATTCATATCGATAAAGGTCATTTGATATCGGTCCAACAATCCTGGCACAATTTGATCGATATCGAGCACCAAAATTTGGTCCGTTAGATCCCACCTATTTTGCACTGGAAAAAAAACACCGGCTGTGGAAGTCAAACTCACGAGCGTGCTCACAGTACTCACAGACATACCGGGGCTCAGAGGCCGAAAGTTCCGGGTGCTGGAGCCGGACTGCCGTGCAAAAGCCCTTGTCCCACGATCAAATGAGCTCATGAAATAGTCATCAAATGCAAGATGGCGACTGGTTTTCGCGCAAGTCTGCTATCAAAAGTTAGCGGGTCGTCAAATATTGATGAACCCGCCATCTTGCATTTGATGAATTCATTTGATCGTGGGACACGGGCTTAAGGAAGAACGCCGTATGAACATTCGAGAGTGGCCAAATTTCCTTCGATAAAATGTTTATTTTTGAGGAAATGTATGAATATTTTTTTCGAAATTTTCAGAAACTTTAGGTAAAATTGCAAACAAAATTATCTGAAAAATTGAAAAAAAATCATCAAAATTTCATGCGTTTAAATTTTGTAAATCATGCTCGACCTCTCCCATCGGCTCGATCCAGCGTGAGCCGGAGAAACGGGTGCTACAGCCAGAACTTTGCTTAAATTCGCACCATGGCTGAAGTTCAACTCTTTGGTTACGAATTATCATTCAGCGAATCTTAGTGTCAACTTCCACACTACACACCACAGACAATACCGTCGTGCTCAGGAAGAACGCCGTATGAACATTCTAAGTTCCCGAATTTCCTTCAATAAAATGTTTATTTTTGAAGGAAGTTATGAATATGTTTTCTCGAAATTTTCAGAAACTTTAGGTAAAATTGCAAACAACATTATCCGAAAAATTGGAAGAAATATATTCATAATTTCACCAGGAAACTCGTGTTTTATGAATGGAAATTTGGCAAAGCCTGAAGGTTCATACTGCGTTTTTCGGTTTTGAAAATATATTGTCTCTGAGGGCGATCGAGAAAACACTGAAAAAAGAAAATGGTAGATTTTACCATAATCTGACACAGTGATACGAGTATGGTGATAAACACCAGACTCTGTGGTAGCATTTACCATATTATGGTAAAAAACACTTGATCTGGTGAATAATACTATAATTTTGGTTATTTTCACTAAATAGTATCACTGTGTAAAAATCAAGTAGACTCATAGCAAATGGTATCATAGGTGCTGGTTACACGCTGAAATTTCCATCAATTTCCGATCAAATGGTGACTGGTGCGCACCATCCACCATCAAATTTCTGCGGCCTGCAAAAATTTGATGGTAGATGATGGAACTGTGGGGCTCATTCTTCATCTGATTTCCACACAACCGTGCTTATCTCATGCTTATTTCAATCAACACGCTGTTTTAATTAATTTTACTCATCCATCTAGATAACTCTCGAACGCTATCTTGGTCATCATTTTGATCGGAATTTGACGGAAATTTGATCGTGTAACCAGGCGATTTTTTTTTCAGTGAGTGTGAGAAAAATTCAAGAGAGAGCAGCCCGAGCGCCCAACGCTGTGAAGGAGTGTTTGAAGTTCAAGTGCACCCTCAAAAAGGAGCGGGCCATCGGGTCCATGCGTGATCATATTGACATCTGTTCGGTTATCTCTCGGCTCCGTGCTTCAACCTCGGAAATGTGGTTCAATGTTTCTCAAGAGCTTTGCCGGGAGCGGTATCAGTTATTGCCGTGAGCCTTTGCCCGCCTTTTGCGAAACAACAGTTCTTGATTTGTTTCGCTAACGGCCACCTTTTCGCAATCCGCTTCGGGAGTGAATCCACGCACATCTTTTTCTTGTCATCAACAAGCCTCCGATTCAAGCTTGAACGGTTCGCAATGAAATCATAACCTTTAAAACCTCCATTTCATTTTTGAAAAGAAAAAAATCTTTACTATTCATTGTTTCATTTATTCATTCTTCTTTGAATCATCAATATCCTCTGAGTCTGTAACTTATAATGTGTCGGTTTTTTCTACCTAAATATTTAGTTCTAACTGCAGTTTTTTTTATTATTTCTTTCATTTTAGTTCTAAATATTTTTTACCTCTTATTCTTTTCTTGGCTTTCAGTGACATGGTGTTACTTATTTATAGCAACGTATTTTGGGTTTTTTTTTTAAATCGACCTCCTGTCTATGGCAATTTTGCAAATTTTCATCATTGTTTTTATTTTTGACAAAATAGTTATCAAAAATTTGAAATTTTGAGAGAAAATTTGGGATTTTATGGTTTTAGAAAAGCTATGACATAGATTTGTGACCCCTCGAATTCAAAATCCAAAATTAGTTCATGCCATAGAGGGTCAAAAACTCTTTATTAATGGGAAATGGATACTTCAGGAAAACCTTCTTCTTGCGTTGCAAGGATTTTTTGTTGGGCCTTTTTTCTACGTTCTGAAGTCTCATTACATTGGAATTATAACTAAGAGAATAACTTTTTTTTGTAGTGCTAGAATACACTCAAAGAAGGAGCCACACTTGATATATTTTTCATTTTTATGTTCAGACGCGTTTTGAGCTCTAGCTAATTTCTAGTCGATCTGGTTAGCCTTGCAATGTTTTTTTTTTTTTTTTTTTTTTTTTTTTTTTTACGCTAGAGAATCCATTTGTACGCTATTGCCTTACCCGAAACCTGGTTGAATTTTATAATTTGAAACAAAAGTGTCAATCGCTCTTTTGGTATATTTTAATGTAGTTTCGATACTTGTGCGGTATTGACTTTTAATGAATTATTGACGAACAATCTTAGTGAAGACTGAGTGTCCCGATGAAGTCGGAAAGTAAAGTTGAAGGAAGTACGAGTTGCTTTCTTTTTTGTGGAATTTTTGACTATTCTTATTCTTTCTATAAACCAGGAGAAGTATTTTAGTACACTTACTATGTATGCGGTAAAATAAAACTATGTATTCTTTCAGTCATCATAACAGAAAAGATGGTGGTTTTCGCATAATTACATTTTCACCGGGGAAAATTCAATTCTCAATTCCAAGTTATCAACAACGCGATGTAATCCACCGATTTCTAATTTGACTTCGATTGGAAGCAATCAAATTATTCCCTTTCATCGCCACTCGCCACCGTTCCCCTGGCGAGCCAAAACTTCATCGCTACCGGATTAAACTTTGTAATGATGGCGTGTTTTCCGGCAAATTTTGAAAGTCGAAAGCGGATAATGTGCGGACCCGCGGCGAAGTTTTATAATATTTGGACAAAGCATCCAAGGATTCACCTTCCAGCTTGGCTGAATCAACCCTCCCCCTCCTTCCTTCAACGCCCACGTGCAAAGATTATAGAGGAGGTTAAGCAACAATATATTATACAATTATGCAAGCGCAGTTCAGACGATTATGAACGGAGGACCCCCGGCTATCACTCCGGTGTGAAATTTAGGATTTCATAACGTTTACTCGGCGAGCAACGTCGAACATTGAGCGCACCAGTTTTCAAGACGCAAAGTGGATCGAGTCATCGGGAAACGTCGGACATGACTTTTTTCACCATAACTGCAAATTTTGATGTTAATTTCGTCAAATTTTCAATTTTAAGACATGTTTCTTAGAGAAAATTTTACGAGAAATCCAATGGAATCACTCTCAAAACCCTTCAGTTTTGCGGTAACGGAGTTATGAGCCCTTAAAGCCTCGAAAATTTGTCCAACTTTTCCCAATGACTCGTTCGATTGTGAGACGGTGCAGCTCCAGGCTCTTGCTTCATAACGAAAATTTTGTTCAATTTCTCTCATGATTTTACTTTTTAAAGCGGGGAAATAGTAGCCTGTATCGTTTTTTGCTAAGCGAGATGGTCCTGGCAACACTCTGACCAATTCCTAGTCTACCTGTAAGTAATTGGCGATTCAAGGATGAATTATTCATTCTATAGTCTAGTTAAGTAGTAAGAAAGGGATATAATTGCAAAATTGCGAACGAAATCGCGCTGAAATCCTCTCAAAATTTACAAAAAGGATGGAATGCCTGCATTCTCATTCAATCAAATGTTGAAAAGGGATGAGAATGTTTATTTTTCAAATAGATAACAATGCGTGCTCGCCCGATACTTGTTGTCTACGCAGCCGAATTGAAGGCGAACTTCAAATGAAGGACACCTACACCAGAAAGTTGCGACAGTGGTTCAATCAAAATGATATATTAGAAGTACAATTATATAAAAACTATCTCAACGGACACCTGTACTTCATAAAATGCTTAAACGAGGAACTTGGAGGACACGCACATAAGAGCAGTTTTTACTATTTTCAAAAGCAAGCGTTTCAAGTTTTAAAATTACATAGTCTTATGGCACGAAGTTCCAACTCACTTTTTGATCTTTAAAAAATGGATTTCAGTCATGAATTTA